TGGGAGAGCGTCTAACACAAATTTAATAAGAACTAGTCTACCTCCTAAAGAAATGTATTGTGCTTTCCATCTGGCTAACTTTTTCTCACATCTTTCCACAACTCCATTCCATATTTCTTTGAATTTGCTTTTTGCTCCCAATGGCATCCCCAAATAAATAGTAGGAAAAGAAGCAACTTCCCCTCCCAGATTGTCAGGATCCGTATGTTAGGCACCTCATTAACAAGATAAATCTGACTTTTCCTCCAATTAATATGAAGTCCAGAAATAGCTTCAAAGAGGATAAGGAGAATCCTAATATATTTTACTTGACTTTCCTCTGCACCACACATAATTAGAGTATCATCCACATATTGAAGGTGAGTAATTTCCAACCTCTCAACTTGACTACTTGCAATATTGAAGCCCTTAATCCACCCATTGTTATGTGCAGTCTTCAACATGTTGTTCAGCCCTTCCATTGCTATTATGAAGAGAAATGGTGACAAGGGATCAACTTGTCTCAGACCCCTTTGTGAGGGGAAGAAACCTTATGGGGAACCATTGATCAAAATAGAGAATCTAACCGTACTTATACAAAATTTCATCCAACTGATCCACTTTTTTCCAAAAACCCATCTTATGCAAAATTCCTAGGAGGAAATCCCAATTGACATGGTCATATGCTTTCTCAATGTCTAGCTTGCACATCATTCCTAGATCTTTTTCCTTAATCCTGGAATGTATGCATTCATTAGCAATCAATACAACATTCGTAATTTGTCTTCCTTTTATGAAAGCCATTTGGTGTTAATCAACTAGTTTGTGCATCACTTTCTTGAGCCTTTTCGTGAGAATTTTAGAGATCAACTTTTATATGCTTCCTATTAAGCTAATAGACCTGAAATCTCTTAGCTCCTATGCTCCAGTCTTTTTAGGAATCAGAGTCACGTACGTGGCATTAAAACTTTTCTCAAAAATTTCACGCGAATGAAAATTTTGAGCAGTTGCCATAATTTCTGACTTGATCACCTCCCAGCATTTGATGAAAAAACCCATAGTGTATCCATCTGGCCCAAGGGCTTTGTCTGCTGCACATAATTTCAGGCATCGTAGGACCTCTTCCTCCTAAAAAGGGCTTTGCATCGCTTGTTGTTCTTCTACAGAGATAGTGGGGCAATTAGTCATACTGCAGGTAGGTCTCCGGACCTCAGTTTCAGAGTACAATTTCAGATAAAAGTCAACTATTTTTTTTTAATGGCTTCTGGTTCCTCAATGGTCTCCCTTCCACTACCAACTTATCAATGTTATTGCTTCTCTTGTGTGCATTTGCAACTCTTTGAAAGAACTTGGTATTCTTATCTCCCTGTTTGAGCCAAAGTGCTCTAGATCTTTGCCTCTATGCAATTTCTTCCCTTCTGGCATACTCTTCAAATTCCATGAAGAGTCTTGCTTTCCTGGCCTTCTCCTCTTGATTAAGGCTCCTTTGTTGCTGAATAATATCCCGTACAATGATTTTATTAAGAATATGATTTTTCTCCCTCTCTAGATTACCAAAATTACTATTACTACTCTTTTAGTTTTCCTTTGAGAGCTTTGAGTTTACAAGCAAGAATATAATCTGGTCTTCCTTCTATTTCAAGTGATGTCCACCAATTTGAACTCTATCATTGAACCCTTCAGTTTCCAGCCACCAATTCTCAAACTTGAAGTAGGATTTTGTTTGCTCCTAGTTACCACATTGTAAAATTAAAGGGGTATGATCTGAACACACTCGGGGGAGAATTTCCTGCTTGATGTTTCTGAAGCAATCATTCCATTCCACTGATATGAGGAATCAGTCACTCCTGTCCGCTCCTCCTACTGAAGATCAACCAACTCCATGTCTTAAATGAAATCTGAAAATTCTGTCATTGTTCTAGTAACTCTAGTGCAATTCCTTTTTCAGAAGGAAATATTATTATATTGAAATCCACAGCAATCACCCAAGGTCCAATAAATAGACCCCTAGCAGCCCCAATCTCCCACCACACTTCTTGTCTTACGTTAACATAATTTGGAGCATAAACTCCAGTCATGTGCCAGTTGAAATCTTGGGGTAATGACTCAAACCTACATGTCAAAGAGTAAGACCCGGTAGCTATCACCTCCTACTTCCAAACTTTACTGTCCCACAACATTATAATACGCCCTCTAGTACCACTGTCCTCCAATTGCTCATACTTCATTCCCCTGTTACCCCATAATTGTTTAACCATCTCCTCTATATCTCCCTCTGTCCTGAAAGCAATAAACATCAGCTTTCCATTCGGTGATCAAGCTGCCAACCACCCCCATCTTAGCTCTACGATTCAATCCCGTCACATTCCAAGATATAATCTTGATATTCATTGATCCTTGGAATTTCTTTCCCCTAATTCCTAGCACCAGTGCTTTTAAATTTCATATTAATGACCAGACCTTTCAATTCATTATTGTCTTTTCTCTTGGGTGTTTTCATTGGAATGGTGTTCTCTTCTTGTCTTTTAAATTGCCTGCATCTGTCGTGAATAGTGCCAGAGCGTCCTTTTCACATCCTTGGAAGTTAATTCCAAATTGCTTGCTTAGTTTCATTACATTTTGATGGACCCATAAAGATGCATCCATCTCCCCATCTATCTCCTCTTCTTGCTCTTGAATTTCAAGAGGTTGTGCTTCTTCAACTGACCAAAGTTCAGCACTTGAGAGGCTTGCTTCGGTAGGAGTGAAAAAGAAAAGGCTCAAGAAGGAACTGCACTCGAAGAATGGAAAGGCAGGCTGCGAAGGCGCTAATACGATTGTTCTCGAAGCAAGTCTCCATGGGATCGATTATCTGCATGTCACCTCTATCTCCGCCAGTGTCAAATTGTGTACCCTCACCGTCAATGTTGGTCATGGCATCTTCATAGTCTTCAGCGTCTTCGTGGATTACAATCTGCTTTTGTAGCTTAAAATTGGGAAGGAGAGATTCCTCCTTTGTTCACATCTATTGTAGAGCTTCGTGAAGGACCAAAAGTATTTGCCCACAAATAATGGGTCCAAATTATTTGAGGACATAATGTTTTGGACTGATGATAGCAATTGGGCCTCGTTAAATAAAAATGAGCCCGCAGAGTTTCCTTGCACTTTATCTGATTTATCTGAGGGTGGTAAAATATTTTGGACTGATGATGTCAATTGGGCCTCATTAAATAAAAATGAGCCCAATAAGTTTCCCTGTTCCTTTTCTTTTTTATTCCCTGTGATATGTTGGGCCGGTGCAAGCCCCGAAACCATCAGATCTGTGGCCCTATTATCATAGCCATTTACTCCATTCCCTAGGTCACTTTTGTAATTTGAATTGGGCACTGTTTTTTATGTACCCACATGCCCATCCCTTCCTATATTACAACTGTTTTCTTCGGCAGAGTAGGGCTGTATTGCCTGTTGGTTAAAAGCCACCCCCATTTCTTCTTCTTCTTCTACAACCACCTTGGTCGTAGATTCACACCAAATTGGAATGGTAAACTCAAAGCCTTTATCTTCTATTTTTATCTCCGTCGGAGCACTAATACCATCACCTTTGATTTTGATTCTTGCCCATTTAAGATGATTTTTCAGAGATGTTTCTTCCTCTGTTTCCAGCCAACCTCCACAGTGGTCACCAATAGCTTTGAAAATTTTCTCAGTCCAAAAGTGCAATGGAAGACCCATGGCTTTAATCCATGTCGAACCTCTTGTTTGCAGGGAGCAGCAGCACCCAGAGGTTGGAGACCACCATTCCAGAGAAATTTTTGCCCGTTTCCACCTCCATTCCCCTTGAAGAATGTGTTCCGCCATGTGTTTGTTAGGTAACTGGAACAAGAACCTTGATCCACCGATCTCATATACATCAATTCCAAAAACACTTTTCCAGGAGCTCACCGACCACCTCCGGATATCAACAATAGTTGGTTTCTCTACAAGGCCTTCCTCGAAGCTACCAACAACACATCTACCCAACAGACCTTCATCAGCATTTAGAACACCACCAGAAATCAAAATTCTATTTTTGGGGCCTTTTGTAATGCGTGCTTCATTTTTTTTTGATAAGGTAAATTGTATTAATCAAAAGGGAGAGAACTCCCGTATACACAAAGTATACCAAAGACGTAGAGAATTTACATCAGAACATGATTCTCTACTAATGCGTGCTTCATTAGACTCCTTCGTCTGCCATTTACTGTTTTTGACATATTGTGTATAAGAAATTTTGGAATCTACCTTTCGGGGGCCACTTGTAATAAATGGTCCTCTGTCTGCATTGATGAATCTTCTAATCTTTAATGCAATATCATTCGATCCCACATGAAATGTTACTTCAGGAATAATAGTTACTGATCTTTTGTCACCTTGGATTGATACAATGCTAATAAATCTTCCAAACTTCTTGTTCTTCCTGGAACTGAAAAAGATTGAGTACTGCTCCTTTAATTTCCATTTCCTTACATGTGTGCCAGCATCTCTTGAAGCCTCCTGAAGAACAAAGCATAGCCATTCCATTGTTTTCCAGTTGAAAGTTGTTCTATGCATCAGATTATGGCTCATTTCCACCCAATCGAACCATGTTTCTGCCCTTGACTTGAGTCGTGTAATATCATAAGATTTAAAACCTGCTGCAAAATAAATCCTATTTCCCCCCATAATGAAATAAAAGAAGTTTTAAGATTAATCACTGATGAATGATTAATAGTAAAACTCTGAAAAGGACGGCGGAACTGATTAGATACTGCCGGAAAAGAAGTGATCTTTTCTAGCCTTGTTAGATGTGCCTGAGAGCATTTTTTACCCGCTTACACTTTTTTTGTATATTGGGATGTCACTTTGTAGAAGAACGAGAAGCCTTTCTCTTAATTTAAGTGATTTTTCCATCTTTTCTGGGAGTATATTGCTAACTTTTTTCCCCTTAAATGATATATTCACATTCCTTTACCTGATATTGTGTATTTTTACTGAACATGCGGCTTATCTTATGCTATGTACAGATTCTTAGTGCATATGTGAAAAGCATGGAAGACCATGGCTATATACTTCATTTCGGGCTGCCTTCCTTCTCCGGATTTATGCCGAAAGATAATCAATCAGGTAAGCTTCATGTCTGCTCAAGTACTCCCTTTTGATTCTTCGTCTGATTTAACAACAATAGTAGCTGTACCTAGAAGCTTCATATAGAAAACAATTGGATCTATATATCTATATGTAGATCCCTCAACTACCTTGATTTATTAAACCACATAAAGCTAGGAAGGGCTAAGTTTATTTTTGTGGCTCTTTTGTGCCGTATTTATCTGGTGCTTGGCTGCTGTTTCTTGAAATTGTGATCCTGATAATGGTGCAAAAAGCAAAAGGATATACATTTTCTTTCATGTATTTGCTTGAAGGGAAAAAGAAAGTTGAGTGTAGGGAGAACCCAACTTCCTTCTAATATCCTGCGGAAAGAACTTAATATAGATGATTGACAATGCAAACCTAAAAAAAATTAATAAGCGCCTCCTTTTTTAAGAGTTAATTTTTATTTAGAGAAGTTCACACAATTTAACAAGGGATTAGGGCAGAGAAATGTCTTTATACGAGCCTTATTAATCAGTGAATATTTTCATGTGCTTTTCCAAGAAAAATATTAGATCAAGGTGCACGTTTCACAATTAAACAAATAAAAGTGTGTCATCTTTGAGAGTTTAAACTTTTAGTGAGATGATTCATGCTATTCAACAGAATGCTTTTTCTCCGGGAAAAATGTTTGTTCCCCTACTATCTTGCTCACCAACCTCAAATGCAGAAAAGTCAACTTTCGTCTTTCAGTTTCAGGCACTATTTCCCTTTTCCTATAACTAAAATAAATTTGATGTATTTGTATTTTGAGGATGTCATATTTTGATCAATGTTTCCTTTCATTCTGAGATATGCATGTATCCTCTTTTGGCAATCCCAAGTTGTTTGCCATATTACAACAACAAACCCAGTGGAATCCTCGTCAAATGTTTGAGCCGGAGGCGTTGGCTGAGTTTCTTAGTTCTTTACCCTCTCTGTAAAGTTATCTTTTAGATGTACTCCTATCCAACTTTTTCTTAAAGTTGGCCCCCTCTTTACATCAATAAAATTCTCTCAGTTACCTATAAAAAAAAAACCCAGTGGAGTCCCACAAGTGGGGTCTAGGGAGGGTAATGTGTACGCAGACCTTACGTCCACCTTATGAAGGGTAATGTGTTTCCCATGTTAGTGTAGTGAATTTCAACCTTTGAAGGGCTTCTTTATGCCTTATTTTTCGAATGTTCACGTGTTATGACAAGGGGACCCGTTATCTTCAATGTTATTCATACTGAGCTTGTAAATGTTCAGCAAGATGATGTATGGAATCAGAAATTGTGCTGTGTGATAGGTTTCTCAGCTTACATTGGAAGGTGAAATAATATACAAGTTTATTATCTTTCTTATGCAAACGATACACTTGTGCTATGTGATGCTAAGTAGGATAAACTACATCACCTGAAAGGTACTCTTGTGATTTCAAGCAAGTTTCAAGTCTGAGGAGAAATCTTAAGAAGTCTGAAGTAATTCTAGTGGGTCAGGTCGACGACATAAAGCAGGTGGTATAGGTATTCAGTTTTGAAGATAAGAAAGTATTGTAATCTGCTGAAAGTGCTGGACCATTTTCAGCAATAATCTTGCTGCATTTCCTTGATATTACTTTTGATTACTTCTCTTTTTCCGAGTTCTTCCAGTGCAGTATTCTTTTTTCTCTTTCAGATACCAAATTGGTACATCAGTCTGTTCGTGAGAAAAACTTCTTTGGCACGAGTTTGCTACTAGAGAAATTGCTGTCTGAATCTCAGTTAACTTTATTTTGCATATTTTCTTATTTTTCAATATCATTAGGTCATATTGGAAACACAAATAGAATGTGTTCTGCATGATAAATTTAATTTATTCATTGTTCGCCTTATAAAAGATTTCTTGCTGCTGGCTTGTTCCTGAGGCATTATTATCAATTTTTCGTGAAAGGCACTGTTTTATATTATACCAAACTCCTTATCTGCTTTTTGATATTGAACCTAATTTCTTATCTGCTTATATCCTTTTTACAGCAAATGTGGAAGTTAAGATTAGAAGCGGGCAGCTGGTACAAGGGGTTGTTAAAAGTATTGATAGAACACGTAAAGTAGTTTATTTGAGTTCGGATCCTGATGTGGTCTCAAAATGTGTGGTATGTTTTTTGAGTTTATTATACTGAATGGATTGCTGTTAACTTTTGCACTGTGTTCCTTTTCATTGTCTTGTCCATTTTGCCTCAAGTTGCATTCATGTATAACATACACATTTTTTACTTCTGTACAGACCAAGGATCTTAAGGGTATCTCAATTGATCTTCTCGTTCCAGGCATGATGGTTAATGCTAGTGTGCGTTCAATACTTGAAAATGGAATTATGTTATCATTCCTCACTTACTTTACAGGAACAGTAAGTTTACTGTATTTCAGTCCTGTTCACCAGAGTTTTGCATCTCTAGTTTCATTGTTTCCATCTATTCATTTTTACTTTGTGCTGCTACAGGCTGATATGTTCAATCTGCAGCAAACTTTCCCCTCTTCCAGTTGGAAGATTGATTATCCTCAAAATAAAAAGGTAATAACTTCTCACTCGTCTGTTTTAAGGAGCGAAGTTGGTTCTTTAAAGGCTATGTGTATTGCCAATTTGTTTTGTTGGTCTAGACTGTACCCTATCAACAATATTGATCATCTTTTGGATTTCATTAGTTCTTTAGCTCTGGCTTAGCCAATTATGTATAGGAGCCGGAATATTTTTTGTAAGCTCAAATGCCAAATCATGTACTTCTTGCATCTTCTTGATGCCATCTATTGAAATCACTTACTTTATCAAACAAAAAAAAGGAGCGAAGTTGGAAAGGATTTTGGAAGAATGCTTCAAATGGGCATGTCATATAAATTTATGCAAGTTGGTCTAAGTAATCATTGCGGATCATGAATGAAAGACTTGCTACACCAATATATTCTCTTCCTTTTAAAAGAATGAGCTTGTCCTTTCTAAAATACAAACTAAATAACCATTGAAAATCAAGGCATTTACTTGGTTCCTAGCACATGAGGTTCTTAATACCTGCGGTTTGCAATTTTGCTAATGTCAAGATGACCTTACAAATCCATAAGCTGTCATTGTTGCATAATGTGTAGGAAGATTGTTGCATAATGTGTAGGAAGAGCATTGCAAAGTCATTCTCATGTGTTCTTGCATGGCTATGCAAATCAAGGTATTTACTTGGTGCTTGCTACCTGAGAGGCTTAACACCAGTGATTTGCCACCATTAAAAAGACTTTCCATATTCATAAGCTGTGATGTAGCACAATGTGTAGTAAGAGCAGTGAAAGTCATTTTCATTTGTTTTTTTAGAAGGAAGAGTCATTCTCATTTGTTTTTCCATTTGTGCTTTTGTATGGTTTAGATTGTTTGGGGATACTTTTGCTGCTCCATTATCGAACACCGAGTTCTTTTCCTTTATAAAGAAAAGAAGATTTTATGGGTTCAATATAGAGGACCTGAAGTCCTCTCAAACTAGAAGTGGCAAACATGAGTTATTCTAGAATTTAAGAAGACCGGGTTACCCAGTGTGTTGTATATCAGTTAAGTTTACATTAACCATTGCCCTCTATCCACAGAGGGGGTAAGGTAATCACTTTATCCCAGACCAAATACTGTGGTAGATATTTGTCATGAAAATCCTAGCAGTTCTCTCAAGCCAAATACACCATGAGGCCACAAATTTAGGTTGGAAATTGTAAATTGATGCTGGAGCTAGAAACTTTCACCAGTTATTCAGAATAGCCTCTTCCACAAGTTGTAGGCAAACTTACGATGTAGGAAAGGTGATTATGGCCTTAATTACTGGTTACTGTTATTGCATGTCATCTATTTTTTCGTTTTTATGCTTCTGTTACTATTTCTACGGTTATGCTGACGTTACTGATGAATTGTCTCTTCTTGTTTTATTCCCGTCTTCATGAGCCGAGGGTCTATCGGAAACGGCCTCTCTGCCCCATCGGGTAGGAGTAAGGTCTGCGTACACACTACCCTCCCCAGACCCCACTTTGTGGGATTTTACTGGGTCGTTGTTGTTGTTGTTCAGTCTATTTAGAAACAAGAATCATGCAGATGCCTTCATTTTAGAGGAGTATTAGATTTTCAGTTTAGATTCCAAAGAAAAAGGAGAGTAGGTTTGGGATTGCACTAAGTAATGGTTTTTACTTCAGCAAATTCCTCATGTATCCACCTCCTACACCCTTGTATCAGATCAAGGGAATGTTGAAATCAGATGGTGTTTTAAGTAAAACAATTAGATTGCCTACCTCTTTATCATCTAAAACGCAAAAATATGGAACTTCCACACAAAATTGCCTCCCTCTGAAGAATAAAAGTTACCTAATGAGGGAATTTAGTAGATAAAGGAGTAATTCCCATCCAATTATCCTCCCAGAATTGAGTGCAAAATCATTTTATCATGAACAAGAGAAAAGAAGGAAGCATATACCTGCCCCCAGTGATTTGGTCTAGTGGAAATGCAACTCGTGATGTGTTGGTTAGGTGCACATCAGAGGTTCGGATAGAAAAAGAGCATAGTGTTAAAGTGGAGAAGGGTAGAAGGGTGGGCTCATTATCCACCAAGTTTCGAACCGTGCACCATTGGCTCGTGGTGTTTTCTCGGTTATCAAAAAAAGAACGAAGCATATACCTGAAATTAATGTCAGGGGCTTAAACAATGGTGTTAACTCGTATTTTAGCATCCCAACCATTGTGTTGCAGCCCATATTTGTTCTTGATTACAATTAGTGAGTTTTAACGGTTGATATTGAGGTTTTAGTCACATAAAAAAATGGCAAGATAATCGAGATGTTCACTGTGTACTGTGGTTATTTGGTCAGATCTTCTACAACACTATACAGGATACAGGGGTTTTCCGGTCCTCCATATGGTGTGACGCTGATGGCAATCAGCCTTTCATGATATACACTTGACCGATCTTCAGCGAGATTGTAGAACTTTATGTTTAAGCTCTATAATGATAGACGGCCATCCCTCTTTGTGCTCTTCTTCCCTTTAACTAATATTGTTCTTTCTTTCTCTAAAAAGAAAATTAATGAGTTGCCAAATACGTTTATCCTGGATAGTGTATTTGAATATTTAGGGACTTTTGTGTATTGAGTTTTCTTGCTATCTTTTACTTTTTTCCAGTTAGATAATTCTCTCTTCTTTAATTTCAACTAGCACTTTATTTACTTGGTGTAGGTTAATGCTCGGATACTATTTATTGATCCCTCAACTAGAGCTGTTGGTTTGACATTGAATTCTCACCTGGTTCACAACAAGGCTCCTCCTGCAGTAAGTTCATAAGATCCTAAGTATCCTTCTCTATCAATTCTAAAATATTGCAAGTTGCAGGTTTATTGTTTGCATATGGAGAATTTTCTAATAAAGCTGTTCATTTTATTGTACATGGCTTTCACTTCTTTGATCATAGAAGTGCCTTTGCTTAGATGAAACTTGGAATGAGGACAAATAAGATTTTGGATTATAGGAAGAGAATATGGCCCTAAGATAGAGCTGTTGGAGAGAAAAGATTGTTTAGTCAATCTTAAAGATTAGATTACTTTGAGGACATTAGGGCTATAATGAAGACACAGACCTCTGGACCTTTTGCATCTTTCAGGATGGTTGCAGGAGAAATCATCGCTTGTTCTATGGATGAATCTTGCTAAGGCGTTTGATTCTCTACTGTGGATGTTATAGGCCCGATTCAAATGTTATTTGTAAGATAGTTGTGGTTGGGTCTGTTCCAGTTCCTTCAGAGATGCCAGTCTTACCTCTAATTGTTGGGCCTCATTTTTCTATACTTGCTTTCAGTACACTTTTGGTTTGATCCAGCACATACATATTGCATACCTGGTCTTGCCCTTCAAAATGCTTAAATGGGAAAGCTGATGGAATGCTGCTTCTATTGGCTGCTTATAGCCCTACCTGTCAAATAAAGAGGAAGTATATCTACTCTTGTCGTATGTCGTAAGCACTGAGCTGTGCACTTTTCATGGTTCTTCCTTGATGAAGCAAAGTACAATTTTACTTTTGGTGTTTAAGATGGAAGCTATGAGGTTGCCACCCGCATACAGTGAAGCACAGTTCAAAACCAGCAAGCAACCTTCTAATATCTACAAATTAGAGGAATTCTCAGTAAAACACGGTTTTCTGTTATTTTAATTTATGAGCTGATGACATGCAAGTTTTTATGGTAGCAAACTTTTATCTATCTATTTAGTTAGTCCTATTGAAAACACTCAATTTCGGCTACAGTGCTTCTACTGTGTCGCGAACTAAGTATGCATGCATCCTTGCTTTCCTTGTATCAACTCCATGTTTATATTAATCATTTAATATCGTTAAATTAAACTGATTTTTCTGTTGTGCAGCTTATCAAGGTTGGGGATATTTTTGATCAATCAAAAGTGATCAGGATTGATAGGGGTTTGGGCCTTTTGCTGGAAATTCCCTCTTCCCCAGTTCCAACTCCGGCATATGTCAATGTAAGGATATTCCTGGATTCCATTGTTTTTGGGCCTTAATATTTATGCCTTTGAACACAACTTTCACTTTCAGTAAAAAATTGGCAAGTTTTGCAGGTATCTGACGTTGCTGATAAGGAAGTGAAGAAGCTGGAGAAAAGCTTCAAGGAAGGGAAAGTTGTCCGCGTTAGGGTTCTTGGGTTTAGGCATCTGGAAGGACTTGCTACTGGGGTTTTAAAGGTCATACTTGTTTACTGTTGGAAATTATTCTTTTGGTTCAAGTCAATTTTAGATGTTGAACTGGTGTTGGTCCAGTGCAAAATGTGATAGAGTAAATTCTGGTATACTTGTATGTGGATACCTTAGTTGAAGAACTCTCTCAAGACATTCTTTTGGTTCTTGCTCTAGGAACTGGGGCACGACGCGCATTGAACATTACCTTCCTCTTGATTTCTCTCTGTTCTTTGCCTCTCTTTTCTGTTTGGTCTTGAAATGCCTTTTGCATTCTTGCTATGTGAATGCTGATTAAAAAACACCTATACTTATTCTCAATTTTGTTGGGTAGAACTGAAGAGTTCCGTTACTATTCTTTTCCCTTTTTAATTAGAAGGGGGGGGNCGGTGCCATAGTTCAATTTTCTAGTGGTGTGAAAGCACTTTGCCCTCTTCGTCATATGTCAGAATTTGAAATCATAAAACCCAGGAAAAAATTCCAGGTATTCCAGATTAATGTGCTGGTGTTTTTTATTTCATCTCATTGGTTTTGACCTGTAGAGAGTTGTTGATATCTTTTGCAGGTCGGAGCAGAATTAGTCTTTCGTATTCTTGGTTGCAAGTCAAAGAGGATTACTGTTACACACAAGAAAACACTAGTATGGCTCTTTGAATCAACTTGCTTGTCGAGAGTACTTGAACTTATTATTCTCCAGTTTGACAGTGTTTTTTTCTTTTATCTTGTTTCACCTACTGATGAGTTTCTTATCTCAAGTCTTTTATCTATATTGCATCTTTTTTTGTCTACGGATATGTTTCTGAGCATGAGCCTCTTATCCATATAGTGTTAGTACGGTGCTGTTCATGATGCAGAGTCCAAAAGGTCTTTGCGTCTTTATGCTAAACGTAAACAAAGCTTTGGCATGACTACTTCCCAAATCTTTTTCTACTTGTTTCATAGCTGATCCTATCCTCTCTAACATGGTATTCCGGTACTAGCCCTCTCAAAAAAGATTATCTACAAGAGAGTAAACTTTCAAGAAATTCTTTGTTTGCACATATGTAACAGTTTCATAATACAAGCAGAAAAGAGAAACTAACCCATTTACAGTGCCTATAACCATCAAAGAAATGAGCTTGGCAAAAGATAAAATGAGTCCTATCATGCAGTAATTTTTTGTCGTTTGTGGAATGAAAGGAACCAAAGATGTTTTGATGGAATCTCAACTCCAAATCACACTCTCAAAGCTAATTGTTTGCTTACCCTTTTTAGCTGGGTTAAGTTAACACCTGTGATTAGCACTAAACAATTTTTGGACTTTGTTAGCACCATAGTTATAGATTGACACATTGTAAAGGGTCTTACATACTCTTATTTTTATGTATTTTTGTCTTCTGCTTCTGTAACTATGCATCTACTTGACACCTCTCTAGTGAAATACCTTCATAAAAAAAAGAAGATAAAATGAGTCCCATTTCAATTTATCAAGGGTGCATTAAGACCCACTTCTCATTGGTTGGCATGGGCTGAGCCTAACCACAATTCACAACCTATTAACTTTTTCCTCTATCTAGCTTGGAACCTATTTATTGAGTAACTAGCACTAGCATAATTGGGTTTGGTACCCGACACTTTGCGTTATAGTCAGCCCTTGTTCTAGCATATTATTTGCCTATGAGTAGTACCTCTCTCATGTGAAGAGGAGAAGCACAGATGCCCCAGTTAGGAGGTGTGAGAGGTTGACCTTGGTAGGTAGGAGGAGAGGTAGAGGTAGGCCAAAGAAGTATTGGGAGAGGTGATTAGGTAGGACTTGGCGCAACTAGAGCTTACTGAGGATATGACCCTTGATAGGAGGGTGTGGAGGTCGAGGATTAGGGTAGAAGACTAGTATGTTGTCAAGCGCTTTACTTTTTCTTTCTCATACCGGTAGCATTAGTGCTAGTATGGTATCCTTCTTATTCTTAGATTGCTATTACTACATATTGTTGAGTGCTATCTTTCACTTTGGTTTTCTTAATATCTCACTGTTGTTACTACTTGTTGCCACCGCTTCTTTTTATCTTTATCATCTTCTTTTTAGCCGATGATCTATCGGAAACAACCTCTCCGCCTTCCCAAGGTAGGGGTAACTGGTAAGGCTTGCGTACACACTACCCTCCCCATACTCCAAGAATCCATTGGGTTTGTTGTTGTTGTAGTAGTAGCAGCTCGCTCATGCATATGTGTAGCTATCACTAATTCTCCTCTCGCTAATGAGGAGTAGAAGAAAACTGAAACATATATGTTGGGTAAGAAGAACATTGGTTTTTCAAATTGCCTTATTAAGTTTATTTTAATAAAGCAATCAAAGTCTGTTCCTTTAATTTTGTCTTGCATACTGCATAATGTTTTAGTAATTTGTTTTTTCTTTTTTCCATCTTAGATTCTATACATTGCAGTTTTCCATCTGGATGTCTAAGATGGTTGCATTTTGCATCTCAATTTCTTCTCTCAAATTGCAATTAAGTTGCAGTTAACTTTGTCAGAAATACTATAAAAGTTGAAAGAGAAAAATAGAACTGCTTGAGAATGTAGACAACAACAATACCAACCCATTAAAATCCCACCAGTGGAGTCTGGGGAGGGTAGAGTGTACACAGACTTTACCCCTACCCTAGAGGGGTAGAGAGGCTGTTTCCGGGAGACTCTCGGCCCTTTTAGCAAGCATATGAAAATCAGATAAAACAAAAAGCATCAATGCCCTGATACCAGAAAAGGAAAAAAGAGCAAAAAGGGCAATCATATAGATAATTGTTCTACTCGTTAGCTTTCTCCAGATACTTCTGCTTTTCTTCTTCAGTCACGAAAGCAGTGTGGCTTTTTCCAGCAACCGAGCCCTCACGCGCCCTCACGCGTCGCCAACTTGCCTGTTTTTCCGGCGACATCTCAGCCACGCGCCGGTCTGTGGCTTTTTCCGGCGACTTTTTAATTTTTTTTCTTCAGATAGCCTCTTCTCGAGGTTTTTCCGAGCCTTCCCGTGCCAGTTTCACCAAATTCCGACGACGTTTTCTTTTTCCGGCCATTAAACCCCAAATTCTGGCGATTGATTCCTTTGTTCAGTACGAGAAAACCTTCCTCCCTTCCTATATACTGTTTTCACCCACTGTGATTACTGTTATTCCAACTATTGAGGCTTTTTTCGGCCAGCTTTTTCGGGACAACCGCATTTAGAATATGGTGGATTGTACAGAGAGAAGCTCTTTCTTCTCTCTAGAATCTAGAAAACTGGAAAACATGTCTTTTATCAAAGCTGTCTCTTGGCCAGCCCTAGAACTTGGGGGAAGATGCCATCGAAAGCTCGACGTAGGGCAAGAGCTGCACTTCTCGCTGTCCGAGGAGCACACTCTCAGGCGCAAGGGTTTCTTGGAATCTAGTCTCATTGGGTCTTTCTCCAAATGGGTTGGTTCTCCAGAGGCTGTTAGGAACTGGGCAGCAAAGGCATGGAATGTCAAGGACGGGCTGAAAATATCGCAACTGGGGGACACTCAATATCTCTTTCGTTTTGTTGACAAGTCTCAAGCTTCAGAAATTCTTGTAAGAGGAAACAAGTGGTTCAATGGGAACTTAAATCTAGACAGATGGGTGGAGCATGATGGGTGTCTTGACCCTTGCTTCACTGGCAAAACATTGGTGGTCAACATGGTGGGTCTCCCGGTGCATCTTTGGTGTCTTGACCTATTCAAGACGATAGGGGAAATCTGTGGAGTTTTTATTGATGTCACTTGCAGTTTACATGATCTCTCGCGAGTGACGATTGTGGTAAGGAAAGGGGGCAGAATTCCTGTCTCCACTGTGGTGGAAGATGGCTACTTGAGTTATAAGGTTTGGTTGACCCCTGAATTTCGCCCTATCTTTATGCCTGTGATAGTGGCGGAAGAAAATGGAAGGTCAAATAGAAGGGAGGTGAGGGGAAATCAGTCTCTGAGGGGAGGGGAGGGCTCACCGGATCACTGGATTAAGCCGGAATCAGACGTTAGATCGAGAAGAGACGGGAGGTTTGAAACTGGGGGAGGAAGACAAAATTTTAACAGGAGGGGAAGACGTGAATGGGTTAGTGATGCGGGCTGGAAAGATAGAATGGGCCGATCCTCCTCTAATTATCATAGGGCCGGGCAAGTTTTCAGCAAGTATAGGCCTGGGCCTCCTCATATGGGCCCAACAACTTTCCCCAATGCCATTAGAATTGATCCTAATGGGCCCAGATTATTTCAAACCGCGCATGATAAGGCAACTAAGCATATGGGAACAATCGTTCCTCCTCCTTCTGGCCATGGTGCTTCACACAGTGGCACTCCTTCACCGAGCTCCAGTGACCTGTGCCCCTCTACGATGGCCGCTGCTGCAGGGGCAGAACCGGCTAAAGATGGTGCTATTAATCCACAGCCCCCCGCCTCTGATGTACCCAGTTCCATCAACCCCTCACCTGCTCCAGGGCTTAGTTGTGCTGAGGTCACACATAAAGTTACTTCTTCTTCTAGGGAGATTGTTGTGCATGCCCCAATTGATGTTAGTGTCGGACCAGTACTTTCAGTTAATATGCCGCCAAGGGTTCCATGTTCTCTTCCTCCATGCTACCCTACTGATGGTTATGGACATTCCTATAGCAACGGGGTATTAATTTCAGAGGTTGCTGCTCACTCAAGGAAATGGTGAGACCCTTTCGGAGGTTAAAACTCCTAGTGCTAGCAATGCTATGGTCCTGTATTCCTCTGGTAGTAGCAAGGAAAGGGTATATATAGAAGACGCTTGCCCAATTTCGTCATGGATTGGACGATGGGATATGTCTTTCTGGATGGAGGATAAACTATTAAACTTAGGGAAGTTTCTAGGTGTTTCTGTTGAAGGGAAGGAAGATAGGGTGTTAGAACTGTTGAGGGAGATTGAGCAACAATCTCTTTACGATGGTGCAGGGAGGGACTTGGGTAAAGTTGTTAAGCAAAATAACTTAGGGGATGTAGTGGTGTATCAGAGAAGGAGGCGAGTGTGTGACAGAGAGAAAGGGACCTCGGCTAGGGGGGGTGGGGAAATTGGGGCTATTGTCGCTTATGGAAGTTAAGATCCTTTCATGGAATGTGAGGGGGATGAATGACCCAAACAAAAGGGCCATCATCAAAGTGGGAGTTAGGGAGTGGGGTACCAATCTAGTTTGTTTTCAGAAGACCAAAATGGAAGTCGGATGCGATCGTGAGAAGTGTCTGAGGAGGTAGTTGGGTGAAATAGGACTGGGTCCCAGCAGCGGGAAGTGCCGGGGGCATTCTACTTATGTGGGATGATATAAGCTTGGAGGTTAAGTAGATTAGGAAGGGAGTTTTTTCTTTGGCAGCTCTCGTCAAAGATAGAGTGAGTGGGGTGGAGTGGGGATTTGGGGGAGTGTATGGGCCGGTAGGGGAAGGGTCCAAGGTGTCTTTCTGGGAGGAACTGGCCAATATTATGGGGGAATGGGACATTCCATGGGTTCTAGGGGGAGACTTTAACACTATTAGATTCCCGGAGGAAAGATTAGGGTGTAGTGTGATTTCGAGGGCTATGGAGTAGTTTTCTGACTTCATCAATGATCACTTTCTCATTGACCTTCCTCTGTCAGGGGAAATGTTTACTTGGGCCAGGGCGGAGGATTCCAACTCAAGGTCTAGACTTGATAGAATCTTGACATCTCCCTCATGGGATGAGCTGGTGCCGAATGTGCTGCAGATTCCTTTACCTAGGTTGACTTCAGATCATTTGCCTATTTTGCTAGATGGATACAGAGGGAGGGTGTGTGTGTGCTCCCTTCCGATACGAAAACATGTGGTTGAAAGTGCTAGGATTTAGTGACAAGGTGAAAGAATGGTGGACAAGCTACGGGGTATCAGGGACACCTTCATTCCGTCTTTCGAAGAAACTTAAATTGCTCAAGTGAGATATTATTAGGTGGAATAAGGAGGTTTTTGGGAGGGTAGAGGTTAAAATGAGGGAGCTTATGCATGAATTGGGGGATTTAGAAAGAGGGGAAGGGGCGGGGGAGTTAGATGAATCTGAGAAAGCGAGATTGAGGGAGGTTAAGAGGGAAATAGTCGAGTTAGCAATAGCTCAGGAGACTAGTTGGCGGCAAAAATTGAGGGCGCTCTGGTTAATGAAGTGGGATTCGAATACCAAGTTTTTCCATAGGGTGGCGGTTGCAAATCGAAGGAGAAACTTCATAGAGTCCTTAGTTGTGGATGGGGTGAGGATTGAGGGAGAGGAGGAAGTAAAAGGGGCGATGACGGGGTTTTATGAGAACTTATATAAAGAGGAAGTTAGTTGGAGGCCGACTTTGGGGGGAATAGAGTTCAACCATATAGGGGAGAGAGACAACGAGTGGCTAGAAAGGGTTTTCGAGGAGGAAGAGGTGCACGAGGCTGTGTCGAGTTGTGCTGGTGATAAGGCCCCCGGGCCTGATGGTTTCTCCTTGGCTTTCTTTCAGCTCTTTTGGGACACCATCAAGGGGGAGTTGATGGAAGCCATTGAATACTTCCGTGTTATTGGTGTTTTCGAGAGAAGTATCAATACTTCCTTTATTACTATTGTGCCTAAGAAAGAAGATGCATCTTGTATCAGAGACTACATGCCTATTAGTCTCGTGGGGAGCATTTACAAGATTATTTCTAAAGTGCTTTCCAACAGACTTAAGAAGGTTCTTGACATGACTATTTCGTCCTCCCAGAATGCGTTTGTGGAAGGTAGACAGATCTTGGATGCTGCTTTGGTGGCAAATGACCTTGTAGACTCCAGAAGGAAAAATAGAGAACCTGGCTTCTATGCAAGCTGGACCTTGAGAAGGCTTTCGACCATGTCAATTGGGAGTTCCTGGACTTCATTATGATGCGGATGGAGTTTGGGGCAAGATGGGGGGATGGATCAAGTTTTGCATTTCCTCAGTCAGATTCTCTGTCCTGGTTAATGGTAGCCCGTGTGGTTTCTTTGGCAGCTCCAGGGGTCTCAGGCAAGGTGACCCCCTATCCCCCATGTTATTCATTCTAGTGATGGATGCTCTGAGCAAAATGATGGATCGTGCGGCTGGCGGAGGCTTCTTGAGAGGATTCTCAGCTCCGATTGNAGATTTTCAGCTCCGATTGGGGTGCTCAGTGCTCGAAGAGTCTAACATTTGCTTTTTGCGGATGACACTGGTTTTCTGTGATGCCGATATGGATCAGTTGACCTACCTGAGGTTGCTAATATTGATGCCTTGTCTTATGTTCTCAGATGCAAGGTGGGCTCCCTTCCCACTACTTACCTGGGCCTCCCATTGGGCGCTTCATATAAGGATATTACGGTTTGAAATCCAGCGATCGAGCGGGTTGAAAAAAGATTAGCAGGCTGGCAGAAACGGTATTTGTCAAAAGGAGGTAAGGAAGGGCTCATCAAAAACACTTAATCGAGTATGCCCACCTATTACTTATCCCTGTTGCAAACACCGGTGAGCATCACAGAAAAACTGGAGCGACTTCAGAGGAACTTTCTTTGGGATGCGGCGGATGGAACTAGAAAGTTTCATCTAGTGAATTGGCAGACAGTCACTTCCCCAAAGAAATGAGGTGGACTTGGAGTGAAAGATCTTAGGGTATTTAACAGAGCTTTAATGGGGAAGTGGTATTTAACAGAGCTCTATGGAGGGAGGTCATAGTAGAAAAGTACGATTCCACGGGAGGGGGTTGGAGGACCAAGGCAATCACAACAGCTTTCGGGTGTGGCATGTGGAGGAGCATCATGAAGAATTGGGAAGCATTCGGTGGCAACATCACTGACAGGGTGGGAGATGGAAGGGGAATCAGCTTTTGGAATCATAGGTGGTGTGGAGAGGATACTCTGAGGGTCTCCTTCCCCCACGTCTTCAGAGTTTCAAACCAGAAGGAACTGATGGTCCAACAGATTCGTAAGGAGCATGAAATGGGGTAGTATGGGACTTCTCATTCAGAAGGAACATGCAAGATTGGGAGATTGCGTAGCTCCAAGATTTGTTGGCACTGCTATATGGGCAAGACAGGCCCCAGCCATCCTGCCACTCTTAGGAGATGGGGATTGCGCGGCGATGGTTTGTTCACCGTAAAGTCCTTTTACCAGAGTATGTTGGTGAGATAGGAGACCACTTTTCCATACTCCTCGATCTGGATTTCTAGGGCGTCCGCGAAGGTGTGCTTTTTTGCATGGCTAGCGGCGAGGGGAGTAATCTTGACTGCTGAAAATCTCCGAAAGATAGAAATTACACCTGTTAGTTGGTGCTACATGTGTAAAAGCTCAGGGGAAGAAGTTGATCACCTTTTGTTGCATTGCCCTGTGTTCTCTGCACTGTAAAGGACACAAGGCAATGCAACATAAGGTGATCAACTTCTTCTCCTGAGCTTTTACACATGTAGCACCAACTAACAAGTGTAATTCCCCTCTTTCGGAGATTTTCAGCAGTCAAGATCACTCCCCTTGCCGCTAGCCATGCAAAAAAGCACACCTTCGTGGGCGCCCTAGGAATCCAGATCGAGGAGTATGGAAAAGTGGTCTCCTCTCTCACCAACATACTCTGGTAAAAGGACTTTACGGTGAACAAACCATCGCCACGCAAGCCCCATCTCCAAGAGTCGCAGGATGGCTGGAGCATGTCTTGCCCGTATAGCAGTGCCAACAAAACTTGAAGCTCCGCAATCTCCCAATCTTGCATGTTCCTCCTGAATGAGAGGTCCCATACTACCCTCCCTTCATGCTCCTTGCGAATCTGTTGGACCATCAGTTCCTTCTGGTTTGAAACTCTGAAGACGTGGGGGAAGGAGACCCTCAAAGAATCCTCTCCACACCACCTATGATTCCAAAAGCTGATTCTCCTTCCATCTCCCACCCTGTAAGTGATGTTGCCACTGAATGCTTCCCAATTCTTCATGATATTCCTCCACATGCCACATCCGAAAGGTGTTGTGATCGCCTTGGTCCTCCACCCCCCTCCCGTTGAATCATACTTTTCTACTATGACCTCCCTCCATAGAGCATGCTCTTCTACCCCGAATCTCCACGGCCACTTTCCCATTAAAGCTCTGCTAAATACCCTAAGATCTTTCACTCCAAGTCCACCACCCTTCTTTGGGGAAGTGACTGTCTGCCAATTCACTAGATGAAACTTTCTAGTTCCATCAACCGCATCCCACAGAAAGTTCCTTTGAAGTCGCTCCAGTTTTTCTGTGATGCTCACTGGTACTTGCAACAGGGATAAGTAATAGGTGGGCATACTCGATAAAGTGCTTTTGATAAGCACTTCCTTACCTCCTTTTGACAAATACCGTTTCTGCCACCCTGCTAATCTTTTTTCAACCCGCTCGATCACTGGATTCCAAACCGTAGTATCCTTATATGAAGCGCCCAAAGGGAGGCCCAGGTAAGTAGTGGGAAGGGAGCCCACCTTACATCTGAGAACACCAGACAAGGCATCAATATTAGTAACCTCACCTACCGGGAAAATCTCACACTTGCCGATGTTGATTTTGAGTCCTGATACTAACTGAAACCACTGCAGGACCTGCTTCAGGTAGGTCAACTGATCCATATCGGCATCACAGAAAACTAGTGTGTCATCCGCAAATGTGAGACTCTTCGGGCACTAAGCACCCCAATCGGAGCTGAGAATCCTCTCAAGAAACCTCCGCCCGCCGCACGATCCATCATTTTGCTCAGAGCATCCATCACTAGAATGAATAACACGGGGGTTAGGGGTCACCTTGCCTGAGACCCCTGGAGCTGCCAAAGAAACCACACGGGCTACCATTAACCAGGACAGAGANGAAGAATCTGACTAAGGAAATGCAGAACTTTATCCATCTCCTCCATCTTTCCCCAATTGACATGGTTGAAAGCCTTCTCAAGATCTAACTTGCATAGTAAGTCGGGTTCTCTATTTTTCCTTCTGGAGTCTACAAGTTCATTTGCCACC